TATTTTACTACAACTCCGGCCACAATGACTTCGGTCATTACTTTTTACTACGGCTCCAGCCACAATAACTCTGGTCATTACTTTTTACTACGGCTTCGGCCACAATGACTCCGATCATTACTTTTTACTTCGGCTCCGGTCACAATGACTCCGGTCATTACTCTTTACTTTTGCTCTAGCCACAATGACTTCGGTCGTCACTTTTTACTACGGCTCTGACTACAATGACTTCGGTCATTACTTTTTACCAAGACACTAATCACAATGACTTCAGTCATTAGTCTAGCCATTGTAATCCCGTGCCACATTTTATTTCGGATATGGCCACAATGACCCCGTGTCACATATTCTACTTTAATTACGGCCATACACGAATTTGAGTCGCCAATTCCCATTTTAATTATAACTCTAGTAATTCATCTCTAATATTTTTTCATTCTTCTTTTCACCTAATTATACACTACTCCCATCACCTTTAGCGACATCATTCACAAGTGAATGACTTCAAGGGGGGAATAGTGTAAGGATAGGTCCGAAGGTTCTGAACCTCAGACGTACTACAATAATTCCTTAATAGCCGAAGTGAAGTTAAATCCAGCACTTCCCGGTCAAATGGCTACATGATAAATACAATGGACATGCCCACACCTAATTTGTCACACGCAATTTCCCGGTCTCGAATTTACCGCCTGAAGGGACACATCACACTCCGATTATCCTGTTAAGCAAGCCACATGGACACCTCACAAAGGCCTATAAATACCTCTTAGGGGCCACCTCAAAAGGGTAATTGAAACCAACCTAAAGCTCCTTTTTGATTAGTCTAAAGGTAGACCCGATTATTGCTGACTTAAGCATCGAAGTGTCTACCCCGAGGACCCACCTCGGGGCTTTGCAGGTTCATCCTAAGTGAAGACGCGGACTGAAGAAGGATCTCTCGTTTGGTGCAATTACACCTTATTCGTAAGAAATCTTACACTTAAGCTACACTGTGGACTTAAAAAACTTTAATTGCATAAACCAGTACACAAAATCTTGGAAGTAAAGTTTAGAAATTTATTAAAAATAAAAGTCTAGAAATTAAAAGAGAGACAGAGACAACAACGAAAACAAAAATTCCAAGAAGAAGAAGCAACTGTTTGTGGGTTGTTTTAGTTATGTATAAACTCTAATAAATATCTTTTATATCCGTCCAAAACAAAGATAATTCACTATTATTATTATGTTAAGGTTTATTTTATTAATTAAGTTTTTATTGAGAAAGTAATTAATAAATTATTATATAAAAAATTAAAAATAGGTTAAATGCCCATTTGGTCCCTCAACTTTATTAGTTTGCATATTTTTGGTCCCTAAAGTATTTTGTGCACATTTTGATCCTTCAAGTTTAAGAAATGCACATCGCTGGTCCTTTCGTCAATTTGAACCGTTAATTTAGCCACGTGGTATTGTTTTTATTTTTTTTGATGACACAACAATAATGTATCTTATAATTGAATTACATGGACAAACAAATGCCACATCAAATGAATACTTATATTTATAATAAAAAGAAATTAAAAACAACAAAATTACATTACTACCCCTTGATCCATCTTCTTCCCCCTTTCTCTTTCTCTTTCTTCTTGGAACCCAAATCTGGGTTCCTCCTCTCCCTCTCGATCCATCTTTTTCCCCTTTTCTCTTTCTCTTTCTTCCTAGAACCCAGATCTACTAGGTTCCTCCTTTCCCTTTCAATCCATCTTCTTCCCCCTCTTGCTTTCTCTTTCTTCCTAAAACCCAGCTACTGGGTTCCATTGAACCTAGCAGACTTGGGTTCTGTCAAACTCAACATAATCTTCTAGTGAAGTGTCTCCTCCGATTCAGATGCCTTTCAACATCACATTGCTCCGAAATTGACAATGCTGATTTTGCTAAAAATCATCTCAACAGATCAATCCAAACCAAATCAAAACCTTGAAAATTCATACTACTTTAATCCAGCTTAATGATCACATACTCACAAGAGAAATAGCCAAACCAAAACATATAAACAAAATTTTACAGCATTCATAATACTAAATTGCCATTCCACAACCACAATATTTGAAACAAAAATCCATCAAACAAAAGGGTTCAATATATGCATAGAAATTGCTAGAGTTACTAAACAAAAAAAAAAATCTATAAACATGGGTTTGAAAACCCAGAAATTCAGGTTCCTTGAACCCGTGTTGCTTTGAACTCAGTTCTGGGTTCCATGGAACCTGGATTTGGGTTCAACCAACCAAGCAATTAACACTAAGAGGGTTGGGAGAAATAACTAAAGAGAACAACAAATTGAAGAAAAAGACAAAGAGAAGAATCGTTTTAATGGACTCGGCAATCTCAAGGCCGATGCCATTGTTGGGGACTAGACTGGCTCGGATCGGAGTGGAAGCAGCAGAGAAAGCCCTGACCAGAGTTAGCGACGAAGTAGAGTTAGGGTTTGCAGAGGAGAGGATCTTGGTCGTCTTTCTTAGGAGCTGAGTCACCATTCTTCACGTTGATCTCCATTGCTTCCGTTATGCTTCCGGCACAAATAAAAAATAAAAATAAATAAATAAAAGAAAAGTTAATACGACATTTCTCTATTTATTTTAATGGTGGACCAATCATGTGATGCCATGTCAATTACCAAGGGTACTTTGGGTATTTCCTTTCAACAAATCAATCCATGTCATCATTTTTTTCGGTTGGATTATCTATGTCATCCAAAAGAATATAAAAAATGCCATGTGGGCAGAGTTAATGACTTAAATTGACAGAAGGACTAATGGTGTGTATTTCTTAGAGTTAAGGGATAAAAAATGTACACAAAATACTTTAGGGATCAAAAATGTGCAAACCAATAAAGTTGAGGGACCAAAATGAGCATTTAACCTTAAAAATATTA